CCGCCGAAGTAGGTGTCGTGATCATCCTGATCTGTCTCGTAGTACTCTATCATGTCGCCGTTCTCATCGTACTTAGTCCAGGTGTCGTCGTACTCTTGGAAATACCATTCTCCATCCTGGGTAGCTGTCCATCCATAGTCCTGGTCGTAGCCCCACTCGTACTGCTCATCGTTGTAGGGTTCGTACCAGCATTCGTCCATTCCGTCGTGGTCTGCGCCGTCTCCTGATTCGCCGTACCAGGCCCAGTCGGTGTGCTGTCCGATCTGGCCCTGCTTGCCCAGCCGCATCATGAGACCCTGCAGTACTCGATACTGTGATAAATCTCCTGCCACGTGCAACTTCAGATCGTCCAGCCTTTTGTCCGATGGTCCACTGCTCTTCAACAAGAAGTGACTGCGGCCAGTGCCGTTCATGACTAGGCCGCCTTCCTCGCATGCGCCCTCGAACGCCAGTTCAAATGATGAAATCCATGTTGGCAGATCTTGATGATGTCCACGTCTGCACTCGAAGAATGAATCTAATACTATGCCAACCCTGTCTTGATCATGTAGTTCATAGATGGCCTTCTGCTGATTGAGGAAGAGTTTGATTCCGGGCACATCTTCTTGCTGGTCCGGTGGATTGGCTGCCTGTGCTGGAAGTGCTATTGCTTCATCTCCTCGATACTGTACACCGTCTCTGACGTGTGTGAACGACATCGCTGCAGTGAAGGGAGCTCCTTGTAGTCGAGAGACTATGAGCGGTCCAATTCTTTCATATTGATGCTCCTCAGTGATCCTCCACCACAGCTTCAGCTTCTGCATGTATCTCCGAAACGTGTAACCTTTGATGTGAGGGCGCCACCCTGGTGGCACGAACTTTGTGAACTCCTCAAGCTGCAGTGTGCCCTGAGGTCGTTATCCGCCTTGCTGCTGATGCGCCATGCTGGCGTTGAAAAAGAGAAAGAAGTAGATGACAGTGCCGTGAATCAGGCGTGGTCGCCTGCTGAGAGTGCTTGTCCTAGCACTAGTGGTACTTCGTGAAGTTCGACGGGAAACCGTCGATGTCGTGAACGATGTCGTAGTTCTCGCTGCTGCCTGCGGAGGCGCGGGCATGCGCGGCGCTGGCCGCGCGGTGGGCCGGCCGACCGGAAGAGGTTGGCCCGCGGAGCTTCTGCTCCGCTACCAAAGCGGGCATTTTACTCGCCTTGAGCCACAATAATATTACGATCTGTGGCTATAAAAACGGCAGCCAGGGCATTCTGCCCTATCCGGCGGTGACGACGGAGGGTGCCTCTGAAACACCTCTGAAATACGCATAGCTCGCCCTTCTTATCAGGGCCCTCACTACTGATATTATCACTCCTCCTCCTCCTCCTCCTCCTCCTCCTCCTCCTCCTCCGGGGAAGTGAGAAGAAGAAGGCGTTCTCAGAAGGCTTCTGCGTCTTCGAGGAAGCCTTAGAAGACCTCTCAGAAGGCCGGAGGACTTCCGAGTCTTCTGAGAAGGCCTTCTCCTTCTCACCACTTGCCCCCCGGACTCGCCGCCGTCCCACCAAGCACATGCGAGCGAGCGATGATTTCGGTCCAGGCGCTTCTCATGCACTTTTGCCATTATGCGCACATACGATGTGGAGAATTTCAAGCCCGAAATGTGCGCCGAAATCTATCATGTTTGTCATGGGTTGCTTTGCGAGTCGCTCTGTGAGAACGAGGTGAAGTCCGCGGATCCGAAGAGGGAGAGGCGGCGCGGGGTGCTGCCGCCGCGAGCGAGACTGGGAAAGTCAGGGGGGTGGCAACCTTGGGTTATGCTTGGTCGTTCTCGGTACCCGTCAAATCGATCATGAGGCGCGCCGATTTGGGGCGAGTCGAATCGGTCTCGGAGACTGCGGAGCTCGGGGGGAGTCTAGAAGATTTTGGAGCCTGCCAAGTCTGTCCAGGCATGCGTCTAACCGATCGAAGCCATTTTGGGATCGTGAGCCGAAATCGTCGCCGCATTCTGTCGTTGGCACGGCTTCTGCGAGAATAGTTTCGTGTCGACAGTGTCGCACCAGCTCAATTCGGGCATCGTTTCGGGCATCAATTCGGGAATCGTTTCGGACACCAACACCTGCACCGGTGTCGGGCACCTGCACCGGTTTCGGGCAAAACTTCGGGCGCAACTTCTGGCACAACTTCGGACACAACTTCAGGCACAGCTTCGGGCACAATTTCGGGCAACCCATGGCGGTGTTCCCGATTGCCTCATTGCAGTAGTAAACAAGCCACAGGGCTGTGGTTGCGGTGGCATGCCTTGACAACCTAAAGCCTGCCCGTGGCGATAACGATGACGATGACGGCGATAGTTCAGGAAAGCCAGGACGATAATGCTGATGATGCGCATGGCTACAGTGACTCAATGATACAAGAGAAAACACAAATCAAAGTCTTTTCAGGGCTATAGTGCTATGGGGCTATTGGGCTATAGTGCGATGGGGCTATGGGGCTATAGGGCTACGAAACTATGGGGCTTTGGGGACAAAGGTTTATAGGCATATAGGGCTATAAGGCTATAGGGTTATAGGGTCATAGGGCCATAGGACTGTAGGGCTATAGGGCTATGGGGCTCTGGGGCTATGGGGCTATTAGGCTATTGGGCCATTAGGCTATGAGTATATATGACCATGGGGCTATAGGGCTATAGGGCCATACGGCTATAGGGCTATAGGGATATAAGGCTCTTGGGTTATGAGGCTATAGGGCTATAGGCATATAGAGTTGTAGGGCTATAGGGCTATAGGGCTATAGGGCTATAGGGCTATAGGGCTATTGGGCTACAGGGCTATAGGGCTATAGGGCTGTTGGACTATTGGGCTATAGGGCTATAGGGCTACAGGGCTATGGGGCTATAGGGCTATTGGGCTATAGGGCTATAAGGATATAAGGCTATAGGGCTACAGGGCTATAGGGCTATAGCGCTATTGGCCTATAGGGCAATAGGGCTCTTGGGTTATGAGGCTATAGGGCTACAAGGCTAGAGGGCTATAAGGGACCCGGGCACCCGGGCACCTGGGCACCCAGGCACCTGGGCACCCGGGCACCCGGGCGGGCCGCGATAATCGGTGGCAAAACTCACCTAACCATATGAATCCGCTAGGACCCCTACAGAGGCAAGCTCCATCAAAAATATGTTCGGCACGCCTACCTTTTCGGGCCTATCAAGTGGACCTGTATTGACTTTTGGCCTCTGGGGGGGGGGGGGGGCACGTTCGGGCCCCTGGGGCCCTCGGGGACAGATCTGAGGCGAAAGATTACCGAGATTGAGGGAAGTGTCCAAGACCACCAGGGCCGCGGATGGAAGAAGTCACATCGTCGGATGTCTGGACTGAGCCCCACGCGAGGTCGGATCGGGCCGGATCGGCACCAGGGGATACCAAGGCCAGCGCCTTCGGCAGGCCTCCCTCCAGATCCCCCTTCAGGGTCGGCGGAACCAGCCGTAAGGCCTCTCCACTACAACATCGCTGAATTCACAACCAGAGCCCAAGACCTCAACCTGCCGCGGCCTTTCTCGAGCCAGGTCGATCCGCGAGGGCCCTGGGGGCCCGAAGCGAAGCGCGATCGCCTGGCGTGCAAAGCTGCGACGCCAGGACCTCTCGAGGTGGGAAAGGGGTCGACAGCTCCAGTCGCCGCCCCCCGAGCGTCTCGACCCCGTCCCCGGGATCGGCGTGCCTCGTCCCGAGTCCTCCCAGGATGGCTCCAGGAGGGCCCCGCTGGGTGGGCCGGAAAGAGGCTGGCTGGGCGGCGCCGCTAGCCCGCAGCGGCGGGAGGGCGAGAAGAGTGTGATGGCAAGATTGTCTCGGGATGCACTCTGGGACT